AAATTACATCCTGTCTTTCCATCCTCGGATCATCATCTTTCTTTGAAAAGTGTATATACATACTCTTTTTCTTGTAATTTAGATATGATAATTCTGGATATATGAAATGACACATGATCTTTTAATGCATCTATGTGCGCGCTGAGAGATTTGAATTTATCGGGACGGTCTTGTAGAAAAAGAAATTAACTCGAGACTAGACTAAGCGAAATTGAGTGCTGCAAGACAATGCTTCCGCAACGAGCACGCTCCGGTAGCGTAAACCACTTTAGAGTCGATTTTGCACTTTTGTGGCGCAATTCTGTGGAGTGCACAACTCCAGGATGTATTCCGCGGCTTTACAGCTGTGGCTGCGGAGTTAAACGAAAGGAAGAAGCCTCGTATATGTAGAGATGTGTTACGACCGCAGAGTCTATAATCCTTAAGAAACCCGACCAGGGCGATAAAGACATGACTCTTAGGAACGTGCAACTTCATTGGGGGACGAGAACCGTGAATCCTAGTTCCATTCAGTTCCATTCGAAACGCGGCACGATGCGCAACTCAACGAAAATGCTAAAATCGAATTGTCGAGTAATTTCCTCTCCTAATACACTGGCCACGTTGCCTCGGAAACGGGCACGGATGTTGAAGGCGCCGCAAAAACTATCGAATCCTCTGTCTCGGAGACGGAAGCTACGGAGGACAACTCGCCATAGCGAGCATGAAAGCCTGGTTGGACCCGACCATCGGAAATCTCGTTGTTGTTGCTTTTCTCATCCAAAAGCAACTGCGTTTTATATGAGCGATATATCTTCGCCACTCTCTGAATTGAAAAATGAATTAATAGTTTTTCAGGAACAATTTTGTACGGTATTTATCTGAATCTTGACAGTAAAGTGTGAGTAGAAACTTACGATATGTGTGTATATAAGAATCAGCTGTTTATTTTGAAAATATGGAATTTTTTCTTGCATTTCAGAAATTGTATTTTCGAAATAAAAGAAAGAAGTAAGACTATTGATGCACGGCTATTGATGTACCTATGATATATCAAAATTAAATATGTAGTAAAAAACATTTTATATTTGTTTTAAAACCGATTCTGTTAAAATTTTTGTGTTGAATTTTTAACATATTCGCGAGTGTTAATTTATCATAATATGATCTTGATAATGATATTTAAACATTTTACATTAAATTGATATTCAATGTTTTTTATGAAAATAACACAATTTATAATAATATTTAGAGTAAATGAATAAATAATATAAAGACAATGTGTTTCAAAATGTAAATTCTAAAATAAATGAATAAAATATGTTAATTTCACATATTACAAATATTAATTTTACTGAAGAAATGTGCTTACAAATTGTGTCAGTGTTATTTTTGTTTTAATTTTTTATATAATATTTATATAATATTTATGTTATTTCCTAACATATTTATCTTATATTAAATTAACACAAAAATTTAAGTGGACACATGAAATGTGTTAAATTTAACATAAATTCTAATTGATATATTGACATTGAAGTAATGCACTTCTAATTTATTAGCTTCATTTATTTAATGAACTTTTTTTCTCTGCTTATATCAAATTAATTTATCAATATCGATCGCCACGGCAACAGGTTCAATGTCAATAGCACGTTCTCTTCCTCGAAATGTCTATAAATACACGTGACTGTTATATAAATAAGGGCGGTTAATGATTGAAATCGTGGGCGGCGTTCAGCACAAATAATGCGACGCTAAAGAAATTAACCGGGACATCTTGGCGATATGTATGTACTTGTAGTGGTTTGAAATCTCGGTTGGAGGCTCAAGAAACAAATTGTTGACTACTTTTTTGGCATCATGCCAAAACATCGCCGCCGGTTTGTTTGGCAGTGCTCTCGCACCGCAAGAAATTCTCAATTTTGAGATTTTTATCGGTTATGATTACAACAGCGCATCTCAACACTTGAAATCGCATTTCTGCTTACGAAAAACCTTCATAGTCAATTCGATTCGCGTCTAATCATCGCTTAAAGTTCCATTGCTTATTTTTGATGTAAAACGAGAGATTCCCGCGGACTTAACACTTTAATTGTCGTATACATATGGCAAATTTATTTTTATCGATGTCCAATTTAGAATTATAATTATAAATAACCGTCACTTGTAAAATGATTTATTTACTCGGTTAAAAACGATTTTAATATATAAATATTCGAGTCAGTAAAAATTATTGTAAATTACAATTTTAAAATATTAAAAATAACAATTTATTAAAAAAAGAAATTATTAACTTCTTTATTTTTATCTATTTCAAATATAAAATTTAATTTTTACAAGTGTGTCAGTGTTATTTATGTTTCATCTGAAACTATTAAATACATAATATATATATTAAATACAATATAATATATTAAATACAAAATAATTTAAATAACATATATATATTTTTTATTTATTTTTTTAACTCTTATTTACTTTTATTTATTTATTTTTTGTATGATGTATATTTTGTATTGTGATTTATTTTCTGATTCTACACACCTATTTTAGAAACAGCGCATTTCTCGACTGTCAGTCTCCGAGAGCTCAATGTCGAAATCAACTTGGTAGTCAAAGTGTTAACTAGTCACGAGCCGAAAACGCTTTCCAACATGCCCGACGCGCGCATTTCCGAAACGGATACACGTTACCCGATCCCGCTGTTGTCCCGCGAAACTATGGCGATGAATATTGATGAGCGGTCTACAGTGAAATGGCAGTACGAATCGGCGGGCGTAACGATTGGAAGGTTAATTGAGAGTAATGCTCGTCTTTTTCCAGTCGGGGAAACAGACCGTTAATCTCCACAGAAAATTTGCGCGGCTGTAACGTCGAATTTTCGACTTTTTCGTGGTTTTGGAGGATATTCCCTAATGGCTTTCAGGATGAGGTGTGAACGAATTGCTTTTTTTGCGAGTATCCTGTGAGGTGTTTTCTTTTAAAACAGAGGAGGAAGAAAACGAGGGAGGACGAGGTTGGAAGTCTTCACTTAAAATTTTCTTAGGTAAGTTCGGCACTGAAAAAGCGTACGCGATCATTTATTGCGCGCGTAAATAACCTTTCAACTTATATTGGAAGAAAAGAAAATTGCGTGCAGTTTAAGTTATTAATATATTCTTCGCGCGCTTATAAAAAGTCTCGATCCTCATATAAAAAATAAAAAATATTTTGAACTTGTGTTAAACCCGGTCATTGTTAAAATCTTTGTATTGAATTTTTAACATACCCATAAATTTAACATAATATAATTAAATGTGTTAAATTTAATACAAATTTTTCAACTGTGTATATTACACCAATAAATTAAATAAAGTTGATTGAAAAACCAAGTACTTCTCCGTTTAATAAAAATAATTAGATCACGAAGAATTAATGTTTATGATATCCCTTAATTTCTTGTTTGTTTAAGCAGTTTTGTTGGAAACAATCATCCAGATAACACACATGTCTAAAAGATGTCATAGATGCATTATATAAACGTCTTTTAGACATGTGTCTTATCTGGACGACTGATAATGATTGTAGATAATAGATGTACATGACGCACGCGCTAACGACGTATTGAAGCACGCGCGTTCTTGACCGTCCGATAATGTACCTCACTGAAAATAATGCAATCGCTTTCTATGCCAATATTACGTAAACATGGAATAATTTTATTGGAAGGTATTATACTGCTAATGGTGCCGCTTTTTCCTCCCCGGTGTCTCCTATTTCAATGCACCTAGCTTGCACTTTTCTCTTATCTAGTAAAATGTTATCAACACAGAAGACTATTTTCAAATCTACTTTTCGTTACTACTAGCTCGTTTTCGTTTCACTGTTGAAAAAATGCTTGTTGTGACATCGGTAATTTTATTCCGTCTCCAATCTCAAAAAGAGGTAACTATGCGATTGTGACACAAAGAAATACTGTATTAAAGTTACAGAGACTAGAGAAAGATTTTCATTAATTATTACGATTAGTCGTTATAAATACGATTTTATATTAACCCTGGAATAATCATCTCGGATATTTTATACCCCAACAGCGAGAAAATGTGAATTATTATAAAATATATATTGTTTAATATATTTTCTTTCTTTTTTAATAAATTATTCTTTACGTAGAAAGAGAAAAATTGAGGTAAGTAGGTCGCCTATTTGGGAGAATTACGGGTCCAAATAAGATGATCTCCCATAATCCCATTCAATCTTTATGCCTGGTTGATGTTAATTTTCTAAATCCTGATAAAATTTTTCAGTATAAAGTGTATGGAAATATCAGTATAAGTATATGGAAATTGAATCAGAACATTCAGAACGCGATTTGTAAACACTGAGATAAATCTTCACGTCGACATGAAGCCAATCAATCAATTATGCTAATAACATACAAAATTATTTATATCTTAGAAATGGTTGAGTTTTCGATCTAAGGCTTTTTTAGTATGGTGTGTACTATCTATTGCATGTAAATGCTAAATCGTTTTTTTAAACACCCTGTTTATTTGATTTTTACTTATATATTTTTTTTAAATTGTAAGTATATATTAGGTGTTGGAATTAATTCGTAGCGTTTTTTAATGAAAGAATGTTATTTATTTCACATGAGCATTAAAAAATACATTAATGAAAGTACATCCCATCACTTGTAAAACGCTACGAATTAATTCCAACACCTAATAAAAATATACAACATATTGTTAATAATAGTGATTTTTAACTATAGGATATATAAAAACAATTCAGATTGTCGTTTACGTGAAAAAAAATTAGCTAACTACTCTCGAATTAATATTATGATTTAATAATATTAAATTAGAAGATTTATAATTGCTATACTTAACAGTTTAATAATAATGTTTAATTGTTCAGAATTTAATGATCTGATTATTGTCGGCGACAACATTTTTGATCTGGATTCTGGAAATATTTACCGAAGCGTAAAACTAGGTCTAGAAACGAATAACGATAGACAGATAGATGATGCTCACCTCTCATGTAGACGTAAGCAGTGCCGCGCATATTTCTTCTCGTGAGAACGACGAGATTCAAGATATTTCCGATGATGCCGAGACAACAAATGGTCGGCAACACGATACCGTAACTGACTCTTCTCAAAGTCGGTGTTCGAGGATCCTCCTGCTTGTCCAGATCTTCCGGTAGCAGGCAGATATTCTGAATCCTGCTTATATTAAGCAGGTCCGTCATCTTGCCGTTCTCTTGCTCTCTTTCTCTTTCACTTCAACGCCTTTCACAATTCGCGATAAATTTCCCCGTTCCATCGCGCCCGCAGATCCATCTTCGAATTCGCTCGCTCAACTGCCGTGTATTCATCTCGTGACACGCGTTTCCGATTGATCAGTAATTAACTAGTGGAGCAATCGCGTTTTTCTGAGATGTTCGAGCGAGACGGTGGCTGATAACACGATCTGAATTTACAAACGAGATTAGTAAAGTTAGGAACGATACGCGCAAACTTGGTAGCACTTTTTCGAACCACATTCGAATTAGATCATTGCGATTCGATGACACGATTCACAAGTTTTACATGCCGATCAAGAGCGCGCACATTCGTAAAAAATACACCTGTCATGCAACAGGTGCGACGAAAGTTTCATTTTACCATGGAAGCGTCGTGAGAATTTAGAAGTCTAAGCTAAACCCGCTGGCTCGAATAAGCGGCTTTACCACTTACGATATTCGCGGTTGCTTATTTCACCGAGGAATCTGAACGTGTTCTTCCTGACAATTTGTACGCCGCCGTCGTGCGGCAGCTGCGCCGTTCCACGCTATCCTGAAAACAAACAGGTCGTTCGTGTATATTCCGCAAATCCGATACATTCTACCGCAGCGAGTATTTATTTCCTCATACTCCATTCGGGGGATTTTAATCGGAACCACAAGCGCGCGCGAGGGTTGAAAAACAGAAAGGTATGCATGAAAAGAACGATTTTGTTCAAATTTTTAAAAATTTAGCTTAATTATTTTTTGGTATCATCAAAATAATTATGTAGGACGCTCATGGTCGATAGGATGTCAAAATTTTTTAGCATCGTTCGTCATGCTTCCGATAAAATTATTTGATGATCCAACAGAAATATTTTCAGATCTGTATATCTGTTCAAGTTTTTAAATACTTTAGTAAAATTATTCTTTCCGTATAGATGCGAAATTGCAGCTAACGCAATTAACAGTATTTGAATTATTGTGAATATTTAACAATAATTAATACGTACAAAAAATTCAAATTGTACACGTCCCAATTTGTGTCTTCAGTACGTATTAAAATATGAAATTGTCGTAAAGTTCTGATTTTTTGAATCTTCTATCTATTGTAATCCAAGTAAAAGTCGAATGAATAAAATAATCAAAATCATCATCTTAAATTGTTAAACTAATTCTGGATTAAATCCAAAGCTGATGCCAAAATCTATAACACAGTTACTGACACTGGATCTGTATAAGACCCATTTAATATACAATTAAGAAACACTAATTAATTTCAAGGAATAAAATTATGTAAGACGTATAAAAAAAAAGAATAAATGTTAAGTCTATTTTAAAAAGAATAATCTAAATTTGCGGATGTAATATAAAGAAAATCGGACTCTTTGATATTTTCGTGTAAAATGCTACAATAATAGATAAAAGAATTAAGAACTATAATAAATTCAAATATAATAATATTTTTTTATTTTAACATTCACAGAAGAAAGCTGAATTATTTTTATACTCATTAGAATCTTTATCATCCAAATAATCTCACTATATAAATCCACTGTCAGCTTTGGAGGGACATTCGATAGACTCACGTCAGCTCTGAAAGATGAGCTGAATTAAAGTTATATTTATATGTTAAAATTGAAGTAAACGGCAAATTATGTAAAAACAAAACTAATGTAAGTTATTGAAAAATTTAGCAATCAATTCCCATGATATTATGGATTAAATGAATATTATACGTCTAATCAAATAAATAAATTCGTCAAACTTGTCTGTCTCATCACGTACCTTTCACGAATCTACGTTTCCGAATCAAAAGGTTGGGGATCGTGAGAATGCGGAATATGATTGGAGGTAAAATCGAACGTCCTGTGTCGCGAAAAGAACACTAATGAAGCGAACTTCGCGCGTTTACGTGATTCTTCATGGCTCAGCTTCTCGCAGAGGAGCGGTCGCGAAGTCCGGAACAGAGCCGTTTCGTCCTGTCTAGTCCCGTAGGAAGGAAATCGTTATTGGCAATGCAACGTAGATTTAGATTCAGATAGGTCGACTCCTCCACTTCCGGATTTTGAGAGTTTGCGATTGAAGAAGCGCGGCTAAATTTCAGATCCCGAACGAAAATGGATAGCATCCCCTTGCATCCTCTCGTAGACGGTGGCGTGAACCGGAATCACCTCATAGTCGGTTTATATTCAAGACGCTCGCCATTCCGCGTCGCCGTGAATTTCCTCCGTGGCGAGATATTTTCCCTCTCTGTGAAAGAGAGGCGGAAGGAGGAACACTGTCGCGCCTGTCGTCCGCAAAACGAATATAATCTTCGTGTCTTTCGTCTTCACGTGAATCCAGAGCTCCAGACGGAAGCGCATTTTATGCAGTCTGTGCGTCCCTCTAATGCATCTCTTTCTATATATTTGTCGATCCGCCATCGGAACGAAATACCTAAGTGCACTTTACACGTCCACTGGTGCATTTTTACAAAGTTTGCGATCAAGACCGAAGTTTGGGGATCGCGTTTCGCTTCGATGACGTCCCTGGCGCGATTCCCGGGAACTTCATCCGCAAAAAGTATTTTCAAAGTTTTCGGGCGACGCGAGTTACGACAGGGATCCCAAATCGATTTTCTACATTGGGAAACAAGATATTCGCTTCAAATTTCTTATCGTACTGATTCGCCTGCAGCTTTTTTCGCCGCAGTCTCTCTTTTACCTCGATATTTGCATCGAGCTATTCGAAGCATTACAAAACGTGTCATGACGATATTGATGTTGTTGCTATTGAACGCAGAATGGATGCAATTATGTGTTGAGTATCGTTATCGCTACGACTGTCGACACTCGTGTCGGAAAAGAAATGTTTTCTCTTCTAAGTGCCGAGGCGGAAGATAGCTATTCGCAGCCTATTCCTTGCTTCTCCGTAGTAAGCCGTGCTGCCTTGTAAAGCCCTCGAGGATTGTAAACGAAACTGTAAGGGAGTGCTTTTATACCGTTACACCGTAGATTAGTCTGCTGGAGGATTAGAAATTTAGGCTTCCATGAAGCAATTGGGATTAGCGATGGCTTAACAATTCTCTCGCATTCTAAGACCATATCATGAAACAAGCATCTTCATAGTTATTAGGTTATTTTAGAATTTATAAATATGTTACTTATTATATTGTATTTCTAAGTAAAATTATTTTAAATACAGTCTATTCGAATTTTTTGAAATTTAATTTACTCAAGTTTTAATATTCTACTTAATCTCAAATATAATATTTATGCATCAACATTAAAACGTTTTGTAATGTAAATATCAAACAACCGTACTAAGTTCTAACATTTTATTACAAACATAGTATATTACAATTGTACGAAATCTATTTGATTCTCTTTGAAATTTCAATCATTGTTAAACACAAAAATTTAATCGGCTCTTATTGGCCTATGATTACTTGTGACAAAAATTTAAGTCACGTATTTTTTTCATACGTACATACATATCTAATGTTCAAAAATTTAAGATAAAGTGTTTCAGAAAATTAATGCCTATATTTTTAAACAATTATCAAAATAATAAGATATAGAAAAAAATGTTCTTATGGTTTTTTGTATACTTTATAATTATGTATATTTAAATTTTTGAAGATTTATTATTTCTTAAAACATTATTATCATATTATTAAAATTATTATAATTAATTATCATTTAAATTATCACTTAATTATCACACTTAATTCATTATTATTTTTTTATGAAATTATATATTTTTTTTTAATTGAAGACGATTTTATATCAAATTCATTTATATAATAAAGTAATTTTACAGTTTAAAAAAATAAAATATTTCAAAAGTATTTTAAAAAACAGCAGATTTTTTTTTGGAAAATTTAAATACACAATTATAAACAGCCATAAAATGCCATAAAAGTCTTTTTAAAATCTTTTATATCTTTTCAAAAATAGAAGACGACTCGCGTCTTTCACGATGGTCTTTATATTCATCATGAATATCCGTCACGAACGGAATGAACTGATTTGCAAAAATTTATTAGAGCTAGCGATTCGTTGCACGGCACCTGATGAGATAGCAAACAATGACCTGGATATTAAATAAAATAATCAACTGCCCATCGTAATAAACTCAAGAATGACAGCTAAACCGGGATCGTTCGCCGAGACGGGGAGATTACTCGAGCTTTCACGTGTACTAAGGATCACCGGAGGATTAATCCGCGATCCCGACTTCGGGATAATGTCCTGTAAATCCGTACGTTTTACGCTTTGCTTCGTAAACGTTTCGCGACGCAAATGCGTTCACCTCGGAGATCGTTAACTCGATAGTAAAGCAAATAGGGCGTGTGCTGCCGTTTCGCGGATAGCTTATCGATCACTTAACCGAGAGATATGCTAGCCTCTCCACTCCAGCAAACCTTTCACAATGTCCTTCTTCATTCCGCATCGCGATAATGCAATCGCTACTGAGACGATGATTACAACTTAATGGACTTTCCTCTTCGAGTATAAACTGCAAAATCACGGTCGGTAGACCATCAAATTGCGCCAAAGCTAAGGTTGATGGAACAGGGCTGAGAATAGATGAGATTGCTTGCAAGTCTCCGAAACTTGCAGAGACGTGACAAAATTTTTGAGTTAATTATAAACCACGTTAGCCTTTGAGATTGGCATATTCTTTACGAAACAGGAGCTATGAGGGAGTCAATGATTTAATATAGGATGAATAATTCCGCCGAATTATCTCATGTCAAAAAACTTATTACGTTGTATGAATATTATTATTCTACTATTTGAATATTATTAACATAATGCTACACGAGTATTTAAAAAAATTGACAGATTTGCGAAGTCTACACGCAAAATTGTTAAAATTTGATGATCGTAAAAACGTCCCCATTATGATGTTCACGAAAAATGCGCGTCTTTTTTCTACGAAAATAATATATAAAAAAATGTTTTAAATAAAACCTTTATATATTACAATTGTAAAATAATTTTAGAAGAAAATTTGATATGAAATTGTCTATAATTTTTATTCATAAAAGAAAATTTGATATAAGATATAATTTTACAAAAATGATAATAAAAGTGGGAATATTTTCAAAAATAAATAGTAAGATTTTTATGAAAAGTTCTTGATAATATTATTGTCATCGAAAAAATAAAATTTTTTTTTTTTTTAAGTAAAAATACTTATATTAATTTTATTGTTTTAAAATTTAATAAATCAAACTGCATAAAAGTAATTAGCTTGTATTTTTATAATACTTCGTTTTTAGTAAGACAAAAATACACGTGTGCCCTTTTAAAATGGAAAAAA